AGAGAGAGAGGGAGAGAGTGCTACACACTCGTACGTATCACGATTACGTGTACCGTATAAGATAAACAGTTTACAATTATTTGTAACAGATATACTTTTTATTTGTCAAATAAAATTAGTACAAAGAATAAATGCGCTTCTTTTATCCCATTAAATCAGCGGCTAAAATTTATCTCACTTTACTTGTCTCTTTCGTGATATTACACGTTGTAATGTAATAGATATTAGTAATTCTTACAAATAAAATAATGAATAAAATTATATGTATTGTATCTTGAGAAAGGGCGATACATTTTTCAATTACTTAGTGATAGATTGAGCAAACTTTTATCGTAATAAAAATACACAATATTTCTCGTATGTGTCGGACTTATTTACATATATTTAGAAATATACGATAAATTTATTGAATGCATAATATTTTCAAAAAGAGCAATAGTGATTTCCAATTATCAAAAAAATTAATCTTATTAATTCTTATTAAGGCTCTTGACATCGCGCTCACATTGAATCGTGACATAATAAAAGACATATTGAGATTTCTTGCGTGCCATTTACAAATAAAGATATTTGGATAAAACAACATTTAATTTATTTCTAATTAATTTAATTCTTATCAAAATTATAAGATATGAAATGTGCGTATTTAACTTGTTCAGATATATTCAAATTTGAATGTACGGAAATTTATTGAATATTATACTTTTAAAAAGAATTATATATTTTTTAATTACTCATCAAAAAATTAATTAAATTCTTAAAATAATGATAAAATATTGTGATAAATTATGATAAAATATTTATCGATTTATTTGTTTAGATGTATTTAGATCTGAATGTATGATACTGAATTTATGAAATGTGTCATACTTTCAAGAAGAATGATAAACGTATGTCTTTTAATTATTTACAGGAATATTAGCCTAATTGATATTAAATTTGTACGAAAGAGATGAAATATTTCACATTAGGTTTTTATAAATATATTGAGACATACAGTGAATTTGTCAAACATGTCATACTTTTCAAAGATGAAAGTGATGAAAGTGAGTTTTCCAATTACTTACCGGGAAACTAGTCAAATGTAATAAATCTTAAATTATAGAGCATTACAATATTGGAGTAAATAACTCGCGACCTTCGCGAGGAAATAAACGAAATTTGTTAGAGTGTACGTTCAGATATGAAGTATTATTTGGAGCTTATGGCTAATGCCATTCCATCGAATTTACTTAGGGATATTGGTAGAAAATTGAATGACACGCAGCGATCGGACGGGAAATGAAGAGTAGTCACTCGCCGAAGAAATTACAGCCCGTGTCCGACAATATATTCAGTTATTCGATGGTTCTTTTGGCACGTGCTAGTTTGTCATTTTTTCATAAGCATTAACACAATAACTTTGGGAACATGAAGACAGACTGGAATAAGAAATCCAGATTTGACAATTTAATAAAACGTGGTAAGACATCACTATATTATTTTGTTTTATTAATTAATATATAGCTTTTTAACTATTTACTAATATCTATAATTATTTATTTCTTCTGATGATAAGTAATTATGATGAATAAGAGAGTCAATGTTCTGCATGTCGCGATAGGATATCGTAAATGTATAGCACACGGCGTGAAAAAATATTTAAACGGGTGGTTTTACGTCTACTGCGAGAATACAAACTTGCATGGTTTTCGTTACATAAACTCGAACGGATCATTAATCGAGAATATCTTTTGGTTCCTGGTAAGAGTTTTACGACTTCGATAACGCAAGAATATGCTCAGCAATGACTGATCGGAAAAACATCACTTACTTTTATATCTGATAGGTTTGCATATCATCCATTGTGTTCTGTGTCATATTGATGATGCGCTTGTGGGCGAATTATTCGAATAATCCCATAGTGACGACTATCTATACGTCGAATCCGATATGGGACGTCTCTTTTCCGGGAGTCACCATATGTAATAATAATAAGGTTTACCGTGCACACGCCGATCCTATTGCAAAATACTTGTAAGATATCATCTATTAATATATTAGATTTCCAGTAAAAGATTCGTTGCTTTCTTTTCTACTAAATAAAACAAATTTTTTGAAAAATGAATCATCAGATTAAAAAGTTTCTATCCACATGAAAAGAACTGAGTAATTGAAATTGATGAAAAATTTTGCTTTGGTTTTGCTGAAAATTTTTGCTTGTTTATTTTTGCTTGTTTGCTTGATGAAATACGACAAATCTTTCGCACTAGTCTGACTTGTCGATTCATAATCAGTTTAATTAATTAATTTCGGGTCGACGGAATTAAACCTCCGTGACTGATTCTACGCAACACGACAGATACAAGAATGGATTCACTGCAAGCGAGAGTGATAAATTTTTCTCGTCTCTAATGAAGCTGATACGGCCCGATAAGATCTCGATCGACAATGTGACCGCGATGGACGTTCTTGATTATCTTGATGTAACAGTCGAAACGCTCATGGAGCAGGTGAGAAGTGATTCCTCTACAATTAACGAAGATATTCCATCTGGGCAAATAAAAAAGACTTCAAGACTTTCAAGACTTAATAATATTGCTCGCAGTTGATGCAGCCTTGCAGCGCCTTATTATTGAGATGTGCTTGGATCGGTAAAATTCACGATTGTGGGAAGATTTTCAAGACGGTCAAATCCAGAGAGGGTTTCTGTTGCGCTTTCAACTCCCATTACGATCTAAACATCGAACATTTGTAATTTCCCGATATATGCGTATCATCTTTTCGAGGCAGACATATCAGGATTTGTTATATTTTTCTGATAAAATGGCAGAGAAAATTTCAATCAAAATATTGCTACATTTTTAATATATCTTTTACTTTATCTAAAAAAAAAATCTCTCTTGATTATTGCCAAAAAATTTTGATTCTCTAATTTTATTTATAATACAGAATTAACTTTCTTAAACTAAATCAATGAAATAGATAATAATCAATAAAAATTTTGCTGACTAAAATAGTAATGATGATTTCCCTGAGGATCAATGAGATTTTGTTTATTTTCTCAAAGTGATAATTAATAAGAAGTAACTTTTAAAATATAGAAAGCTTTTTGTATTTTAAATCGCTATTCTTTTAGAAAAAGTTTTTGTATTATTCAAATAAAATTTACATATTTAATTTCCATATTCAAATTTAGACTCATTACATTTTCTTATTTTTAAGCTTAAGTAGCTAAATCCAACCAATTTAAACGTCCTACATAATTACTTTGATGACCCAATAGAATCATTTACCAATCTATATATGGTCAAATTTTTAAATACGTCAATAAAATTACTCAGAGAGAAATGAATTATTGAATTAACGTCTAATTGACGTCGATTCGATGGGTCATTTCTCGCTGGGTATTTTTTTCATGCATTGATTTCATTTAAAAAAGTTCATTAGAAAAATATAACAAACCCTCGATCAAACTCGATGCAAAATTATTTAATTCACGTGCGTCATTTTATGTTTACGTTGTTATCTTGCAGGTCCTCCAATAACACGCCTTCTAATTTTACCAATTTCAACGAAACCTTCGATGATTTGCCGGGTGTGGATGAAATTCTGGTAACGTCCGACGTCGTGTCAATTTCGATCGTGTTCCGGGACTACATAGGATGATATGAAACAACCTCTCTTGCAGAAAGCGCCTGGAAGCGGCCGTGATGTGGGACTCGCGGTTGCCTTGAACATCGAGCCCGACATGTACAAGGCAACCTCGCGCCCTTACGTAGGGGCTTCAGTTATGATACACGATCCAATCGATTTTCCCGACATCGGTGCACATCTCGCGTCCGTGCCGCCTGGTCACGTACTGGCGATATCCGTTACGGGCACGTCCATCAGAGCCATGGAAAGTTTGCGGAACATCCCTCTACAACAACGTTTGTGCTTCTTCGACAACGAGGTAACATTTTGTTCATATCTTCGGTAATTAAGAGCTCCGTTTAGCACGGAAAATCCGTCCATCTGTCCGAACTTGTAACCTTTCGCAAAATTCCAAGTTTCACATAATCTTATATGAATGAATGTACAATGCAGATACCAGGCGAGGTACATTACAGCTATCAATCGTGCATATCGGATTGCATAGCCAAGCTCACGTATCGTCTATGTGGCTGTCTTCCGTTTTATCATCCGGAGACGCGTGAGTGTGCCTAAGATTATAAATTATTTAATATATATATATATCATTTCTAATTATAGTTGCTGTATTTTAAATTTCAATTTTATCTTTATATGTAAACTTGACTTTGTATTCAACAGGAAGAAATATTTTTGAAATTTAACTTGGCTTATTATTAAATATTAATATTATTAATTATTATAATCTTAATGGCTAATAATTAAAATATAATTGTTATCTCTATGCACAACTATATATTCTTTAATATTTTATTGACAGATGGAATGAGAACATGTTTCTTGCCCGATATAAATTGCCTCTTGAATTTCCGAGGTAAAAAAACGATTTCGCAATATATTGATTATATGTATATTGTAATCAAATATATATCTGATAGCTATATATCTGATTTTATATGTATAAAAAAAATAATGGTACTGTTAAAATAAAATTTGTGAAATAAAATTTGACCAGATACAAATTTGACAGTAGTTTTATCGGACCATCAAATAATTATAGGGCATTCAAATCGATTGTTAGAATATAAAAAATTTTTGCAGTATTATATTGCCATGCATAAGTATTCTATATAATTGTTTTAATAGTTCAACAAAATTTTATTTTCAGATTTGTATCTAGTCAAATTTTTAGATACTTGTTCTGCAAAACTTCTTTTTGTGCGAGGTTTTAACGCAATTTTTTAAAATTTAGAATCAAGTTCAGATTTTGGGAATTGTAGAAAATGTCTGCCTCAATGCACTGATATGTTATACAACATCAGTCCGGAAGATATTAAAATGAACGACATTGGATTCGATTCTGATTTAACGTGAGTCTGCTCGTGTAACAAAAAGACTTTTATTTTATTTAGATCTTACAAGAAAAGATTCCGAACTCGGAGATTTCAAAGATTTTGTGACATGTAAGCGTAACACGGCAAATATATTTCCCCCATTTTTGTTTATATATTTTTTTATAACTCTTTAAAGTGATGTATCTTTTAATCAATACATTTTCTAAAAAGAAATAAGTTTACTTTATAAAATTTAAATCTATTTTTTTTTATTGGTAAATAATAACGGAAATGAAAAGCCAATATTTAAAGGTTGATTTTATTCGCTTAAGAGCAGCAAACGAAAGTGACATTAAAATGACATTAAGATGATTAAAATTCTCTATGTATTATCAAAGTTCATAATTTTTTAAATTTCCGAGCTGGAGATCTTTTTCGTTATATCTTTTAGATTTTTTTTTATGACATACGATTATTTATTTAACTTTTTCGAAAGTACAAGTTTGTTCTCGTATTCTTGTAGGCACGGTTTGGATGTAAACAACGTGTCTTTTGTGTACGTATTTTTCGGTGACATATCATATGTCGAATATCGCAAGGACAGTATCCTCAGCTGGGATTCACTCCTCGGTAGGTTTAATTCCGATCAGCCAGCCATTATTTATTTTTGAACTCGATCGAACTTGTGTTGAAATTTGACGAATTATTTCAGCATCCTTCGGCGGTATCTTTGGTCTCTGCCTCGGTGGTTCCGTGATGAGCGTAATAGAGCTGGCTTACCTTTTGACCCGGCACCTATTCAGAAGACAGCCCCGCAAAAAGCAAGAACAAGTATCGCGTACAAGTTTGCCACCGGCGTCGGAAGTATTCCTGTCGATCCCCATTAAAGAGAAAAGTCAATTGCAGGAGCTGCGAGAACATCAGGGATCAGATAACAAACGAATTCTTCTTACTTGGTATCAACCGGCTCTTCACTATCGTAAAGCGGATCTTGGCAATGTGCATCGCAAAAACGTCAAATTTTAAAGCTTAAATCCACTTTAATCGAATCAATTATTATGACAAAAATAAGATTACTAAAAGGTTTTTCTAATGATTAATACATTTTCATGATAATTTTTTCACGACCGATATTTGACTTTCCAATGACGTTTTGATGATCATTGATAACTAGCGCTATTGAAATCTTTTAAAATTTAAAATTTTAAATTTATTAAAATCTTTTAAATTTTAATCAGAGAGTAAATACCATTTAATATAAAATCTGAAATTATCTGATAACAATAAAATCTGAAATTAATCAGATAACAATAAAATAAAAAATGCTATACCCTACCCTAGGTGAGGATATAATCTTATTCAATTATATTATAATATTATAATAATATTATAATTATATTATAATTATATTATAATTATATTATAATATTTTATTATAATATGCTTATCATATAATAAAAATAAGATATATACAAAACTCAGATAATGTATTAACAAATGAAAGATTTTGTATTTCATGACATTTATGTATTTCGCACATTTATGTGAATACTATTTAAGATTATTTATTAAGGAATAATTCGATGTTTGTAGCTTTGCGTGATTATCTTATTTATTGCATTTTCAATGAAAATCTGAATCCTAGATAAATAGGGTTACTGATTATTGGTATGTTACGCCATAATTATAATACAAATATTTCACATCTTGCTTTGCAGCCTGATTGTTGATGGAAGTAAGCTACTGGTCTCTTCTTTGTGCAATTTCTTTTTAAAATGTGCTCCGGAAGTAACATACGTTTCAAATGTATGAGAAAGGTGGGGCTTAGCAAGCAATAAAGTATGAAATTGGTTGAGCTCGCTAACGCATTAAGAAGAGTCGCCCACATACGAAAGCTGTGAAAATGCATAACAGAGAAAATTATCAAAAGTAAATAATAAAAAGTAAATAATAAGAAGTAATAACACATAATTTTAAATACTTTCCAATTAAATTCAATCATAAAAGATAAAAAAATTGCACGCACAAAAATATACGAATACACATACCGTGCAATGAAAAAGATTTAAAATATATTTTAAAATAGCATTTTTCTTTAAAAATATGATTGAAATCAAAAAGCAAAATTACAAATTTTGTCCCTTTATATTATATTGTTATTTAGAGATAAAATATTATAATTCTTGTTGTCTGAGTTTATAAAATTTTCGTTCATTAGAGAATGTAAGAAAATAGAAATGCAGTAAGAAAGAAATGCAGTATCGAAACGTTAATTTATCAACTCGCGTAATTGAAATTATATCGCATCGTTGTCTCGAGATAAACTGAGTTTACAAAACGATTTTCAAATTTTGGTAAAAAAATAATGAAAATTGTAACGATTTTAGTTCTTCTTGAATAATCATAATAGGAATTTCTGTTTAAAACTTTTTCAATTTTACATCTTTTCATAATTAAACTTTATGCTGGATAAAGAATATAAAACGTCATTCTTTGTAAAAAATTTAAAGAAAATGGAAATTTCTCATAAAATACCTTATCTCAATTTAAATTAAAGATGCTTTTAAAGGTAGAAAATTAATATTTTCCTCTCTTTTCTTTCTTTAATTCTACATAAAAATTATTCTTCCTATTCCTTTTTTAACAATTGGCATTTCACAAGAAGAAACGTTTTTCTCAAGCATAATACATATGCTAATTTATTCAAGGCCTTTTTAATAATTGTCGTATTACGTCATATCATGTCCGGCCACTTACTTTTCCATGAAGACCTCGTGAACTTTGGAAGGATCACCGCCGTAAAGCAAAGACAGGGCGCTTCGCCGCGACGCCAAATGAGTTGGCAATTCGCCCACAAGGAACAAAAATACGATGCCAACCAGCATGATCGTTAACCGAGCTTGATCCTGATAGATGACAAATTAATGAGAAGTAAAAGAGATAAAGCAAAACATCTTTAAAACACATATGTTGTATGTCTGGGAATATTTTGCGTACTAGTGCTAGGTTCGATCTCATCAGTAAAAATTTTGTTGACTAAAATAGTGACAGAGATTTTACAGTCGGTATTTTACTTGCTTCCAATATAAACTCTCGCTTTTTACTTGTTCTTATTACGTTTCGTTGATTATTGTCAATAGAAATTGAATTTACCAAAAAACGATATTAATTGATAAGATATTATTTTGAAAGCTTTTGATATTTTAAGCTGCCTTTTGGAAAAAAAAAACACGTACTTGTGAGATAAAATTTGCATTCAAGTTTAATATTAAGATCCAAAATTATTACATTATTTTTTTTCTTTTTAAAAGTTTGTCGTTTTTATAAGGCAGTATATTTAATTAACAATTAGTAAATAAAAAAATGAAGCTATTTATTATCAATGTGATTCAAGTGAACCAAATCAACTTGTCTATTCGAAGCTGTAATAAAAACAATCTCTTGTCTATGCGCCAAGCGACGACGAAGTTTTAATATTTGCGCTTGCAAAGACACGACTACGACGTTATCGTCGGTTTTTGAGGAAAACTTTTCCAATTACGCGAGACAACAATGACTCGCGCGGGACTCTGTTTCCGCATACCGCTCGGTTTCCCGGATGAGTTTCATGCAAATCGCATCCTGAGACGTTTCCAAAGTGTTGAAGTACAACAAGCGCTCATTTGTACCGCTGAGTGGGATAGAATTCTGAAGTGGCGTGACACGAGTTTAGAACTGATTTCTGGTTTTTACGATCGAGAACTCTCCCGTCCGACCTGTTCGAAGCCGCGTTCTTATGATAGAAACGGAACGGAATTAAATTAAACGCAATCCGTGGCTTCTTTTAAGACTTGTTATACAAACGAACGGCAAACATGTTCGCGGATTCTCGCTGATGTAAGTATATATTACCCGCAGGCGATTTCCTTCTCGTATGTTCTTGCGCTTCAGCAGTATCTCCCTTTGTATGAGGACTCTCCTCACGGAGCAACACATGATTGCGTTCGCGATAAGCAAAAATACGGCCGGTATCAGGCCAAATATTGTAAATTGTAGCCAGTTTTGAAGATTGAACCAACTGCAAAGATCAAGATGCTGTTTAATCTAGGCTTTCAAACAAAATTGAATTTGGAGGAGAGGAGAATAACGGGAATACTGTTAAGAGAGAAGATATTAATCAACAATAATATCGCAATTACAGCGAGGAGTTAAGGGTGGCTAAAGATAGTCTGGGAAATTGGATGGGGGCATGTTAAGATAGCCGCCAGAATAAACCTTTTGCGGTTAACATGATCGTCGCTTCTTACGTACCGTGAGTGGAAAAAGTTAGTCGTCACCAAATCACCACTCTCGTTGTATGTGTACATAAAACAGTACGGTATGTTGATCAAGATAGCAAAGAAAGTGGCGAAGATCATCAGCTTACGTGCTACATATTGGCTGCAGAACTTTGGCGGTTTACATCGCGACATGCTGCGAAAATTGGAAACTGTTATGTTGTTAAATTGTTTTTTCCTTGCGTCAAAAATATTGCGCTTTTTGTTAAAGCTTGTATATCTCGAATTTTAATATCCTTTAGTCTTGCGAATCTGGCAGAAATCTATGATTCCTGTGCCTTTACCTGCAGACTATTATCAATCTATCGACGCTCACCCCTAACGCGGCCCATACTGTAATGTTCGAGGTAACAGATCCTATCGGGAAGTGAACGAACGCGTCGAATTCCAGCCATCCTTTGTTGCAACGAAAAATGCCTCTGGCCAGACTGGAGAAGGCGACCAGAATGCAAGTGATCAGGTCCGAAGCTGCGAGCACTGTGAAAAAATAATTGATTGACATTGACAAAGTACATGATGAAAATTCGTTTAAAACGAACGGAATTGCGATTAATCTTTTAAAGTTTAAACTATTTCTCGTAAATATAGTGGAAATCAAATATTCTCAATTCTTAACTTTATATATAATATGTCAATAAATTTGAAATTGCGAATTAAAGAATTTTTATTAGAACTTTTATAGTTGAAAAAGTTTATGGAAATTCCAAAAGTACAGTTTATTGATTGTAAATCGTGCTGTGATTCGAATACCTGAAGTACTACGCGCTAAACACAGCGTTCATTTTGACAAAGGATTAATATTAATTAATATTAATTAGTATTATATAGGATCTCGAACTATTCGGTTGTCGGGTGTTTCTATTACACGAAATTCTTGTTGACGATTGGTTTAGCGATGCTGGTGTAATTGTTATTATTACGGACGGTTATAGAAGACGGTTATAGATTCTCTCTAAGCGCATAGCAATAACAAACCGGCGAACACAAGTGAATTCCACATTAATTCACGGCTAACTCCAACGCTTCTTTACCGACCTGCTAAATACGTATATGTCGACGCTTTCAAGTACGTCTTCGCTTTCAAGTGGACCGCGAGGATTAGAGAGTTCCCGATTATTCCAAGTGCGGAAACTATGGGGATGACTACGGTGTATCCGATAATGCCCCAGATACTCGGTTCGACCGTCCACAACTCGTAATTGTATCGGCCGGGGTATTTCAAGGATCTCGTTCTGAAATTAATTGCCGGATCAATTTCGGATAGCTCCTAGAGCAAAAGTTTTCGTGCGGCTCGAGCTTGCTGCTATTATCATATCTCAAATTTTATTAATAAAAACTTGATGAAAATTTTTATTTTCTCTCTTGTTGTACCTATACATAATATACTCTCTTGAACTTGAAAGCCGGCAATATTTATTATTTGACATTTTACAGAAAAAGTTTGCCGATCCTTGTTCTAGAATATAATGCAGCACTGCGGCTTGTAACAAAACGCGCCTTTCTGTCGCGAACGCTCACCGTTTGCACAGTACAATCATATTGTACATCTCGGTGATGTTCGGATACGTGGTTTTCATCTCACCATATGTCTCATATTGGTCTCGCCACGAGAGTTCTCGATCCAAAAGTTTTCCGCGTCAAAAATTCGTTCGGTGGTTTCTATTGTGATCTTGTGAATATCTTTAATTTCTGCAAGTTGAAGCATAGTGTTAAGCTTGATTTTTCGCTCTTTCACGAGTCACCACGGGTTGAATTGTAGTTTAAGGAACGAAGGCTGATGAAGGGAATTACAAAAGGAAGCTCGCTACCAAAAACTTGGACGAAACTTACCGATTAATATTTTGGTTTGGGATTGAATAAGGCACGCAAAGTGCTTTTTGAGTCTCTCTCTTTTTGTCCTTTCCTACCCTTTTTAAAAATAATTACAACCTCTTAAGAGTGATTATTAAAGATGATTTTCTATCTCCGAACTGATGCAAAATACATAAATCGCTTTATGGAGAAATATTAATATAGTTAACAATTACGGTGTGCGTTAACTCACCAATTTATGCAGATGAATCGCGCGGCTTCCGAAAAATTGGACCTTTTAAACGAATTCCAATAAGCGAGGTATTTGCACCCCAAATGTAATTTCCATTTCAAAGTCGTCGACGCTCGTTCCCGTGGACAGGGAGGGAAAAAGCGACGAAGCGATCACGTATCTCTAAACGCGCGTGCGAGAGCTTTTAAATGTTTTATAAATAGATTACCCTTTTTTGCTCGCGCTATTTTACACGACGTCGCATTAAAACGCGGCATTTTTGCTTATTCGAATTATGAGAGTGAGGATACTTTAATCTTACCAGCGCAGGTCATATTTTTAATAGGAGTAATCAGCAGTAGTCGCTCGGCTCGAGATCGGACGTGTCGGACTTATTCGAGTTTATATCTCTAAATTGGCTCAAAACGCGGCCTTAATGTCAGACGATCTCGCTTAATGCCTGACGGCTCTCTATAACTCTCGCAATTTACGGGGAACGAGAAATTTGCCTTTGAAGTGCAAATCGTTAACTCCTATTAAGTGGACGCGTTAACGGTACGGTACTCCGTTTGTTAACTGACCGACAATAATGAACTTTTCGACAGAAGTATCGCACTGAATGTAAACAAATGGGCCGGATTTCTCTCTCGTGAAGCCCAATTCATTCGGCTTTAATCGCGCGCGATTTGACACATCCGTCACGGAATGCTTAAGGATTCAGCGAAGCGATCGTTATACTGGAATACGTTATATTGAAATTCCGCGATGATACGAGTTTTCCCGTATTCTGGTGGGGTTTGTACCCGATAATACTCCGATAATGGATACGCAAATAGTGCGTACGTGGAATGATACGCATCTCTGTGCTAGTCCACCGCTATCGATCGAGCATTCGCTCGTTGATATCTTGCGGGATGGACAGCTCTCGAATGCACCTCGAATTGTGTGTGTGTGTCTCTCAACCCTTAAGCGAAAGTGACCGATATATAAATCACCCTATTTTTTTATTTTCTAAATTAGCCCGTTTGAAACTTTTTATCGAAACTTGGTACGTAGTAATATTTTATTTAATAAATCTAAGCAAAAAATGCAAAATTTAAAATTGCGGATTTAATAGGGCGAGCTCTAATTGTCTGTTCTGTGACATACATTTTTTTTCGTTGGAGATTATCCTTTCGATTTTGGCATTTTTATATTTGAATTTAGTGATCTCAGTAGAAATAAAATTTGCAATAAACGACTTGATGCATTTTTAATTCTTAATTTTTAGAATCCGGCTTGCCATATCAGATCCATTTTAAATTTTGGAATTTTGCAATTAGAATCATATTTAGTGATTCTAAAAATCCTTAACAAAGATCTTGCATAAAATATTTTATTAGAAGACTTCTTGAAAATATTTAGCCGAATTTAGACTAAGAAAACGAGCGCGAACAAATAAACGAATAAACAAATTACTTTTGTATTCGATACAACGCGACAGTGACGGCACTTCGCATTCATCGATATCCATTCATGTTCGCGCTCGCTTAATCTGGAACCATTATTACTGATATAAACTGACAATCTTTGTCCCTGTAATTTAGACGTTATCATTTAGACGTTATCATTTTTCCCATTACAAACGAGTGGTTTACGAAACACATTATCGCGAATAGCTTCCTTACACATCGGACAGTTCGGCTTAATTGTATCCATGGAAACAACCGCGATAACCATTATCGATCGTTCGCCGCGACCACTTTCGGTCACCCTCGAGATATTAAATTAATGATATAAAAAATTTAGAACTCGTTTTTCATATTAACGCTTTATATTAACATCGTCGCATTGAGGCGCGACGGCGCCTATTACATTTGGGATATCACAGATCCGAAAATCTATCTATCTCGGCAAATAAACGTATAAACATTATTAATTTTCACGCGCGTCACTGCCCTTTTGAGCAAAACAAAATTGAACGCGTTGTCAAACAAATATTCAGAAATATTCGTTACGAATTTTGTAACAAATCGCAATACCTCTCGCGTGCAACGCTGCGTAAAAAAACCGCAACAAATTCTCGTATACAATTCTCGTATCAAATTCGCTATACTCTCCAACACTCGTTGACATATAACATTTGCGTTTATTTTTATTCTGTTTTATAAATGCGACAAAAATAAAGCGATAAGTGTGATTTGTCGGAAAAAAATGCGAACAGCCCAATTTTTCCGAGATCGACTCATTCATGGGGACCAATTACCGGAGTCAATCTGCTTTTCTTTGGTGCACAAACAAGATCATTTCGCGCAATCGTCTCTCTGTGATTCATTTATAATATTTGTGATTACACATATATTTTGCTAGAATAATAGCAATATTTCAATTGACAACATTGTGACTACTAAATACTTTTATTTCAAAACAATTTATTTGATATAATTATATTTATTTGATATAATGCTGTTTACAAAGCGGCATCTAATCCTATTGACAATAGACGGAATTAGAGTGAGTATTTTCCCAAAGGAATACTTGTGATTCTGTTGCACCACTTAGCGGGGAAAAATAAAGTTGGAGGAAGAATTTTGGAGAATAGCATCTGATGGACGAACGGCATCTGCGGATGCCTGAGATTCAATGGATCTCTTGAAATTCTCGGGGTTCTTATAGAATCCGTATCGGAAATATTGGAATTCACAGAAATCGCATCTGAAAGTAACAGTTGAGGAACAATTTGGGAAACGTCTAAAATTTCAGAATGTCGAGACGCGGCACGCAACAATTCGCGGCTGCCTCCCAGCAATGCGTCTGTGCGCTTAATTACCATTTAATTAGAACTTTTCACACGTTCGTGTCTGTAATGGAAACAGTCGCTTTTCCTGCCCGTGACAGTTTCCTCCGCAATGTTAATTCTTTCACGAGGACGCGAGAATTTTACCTACCATTATTTTAATGATCACTCAGAGGCTGCAGTATATCGCGATATGTCTCCCTTCCTTAATTACATTTTCTAAAGTTTTGAAGTTTATTATAGACTGCTTTATGGAAAGCGCGGAGTAAATTCAATTCCGTGCGAAATTCCTCCGCATTGTGTTCTATCGCAAAGTAGCCTTCTAAATTAAAGATTCGAAAGAATTTCATTGAAATAAGAATATTTAAAAAGAGGGAATGATGAAATTTTTGCCACAGAGGAGCGTGCCGCGTCCGCGATTTGTTAACATACCTGTCCTTGATCTGGCGCATTATTATGGAAAACTAACGAGCTTCATAAATGAGAGATTTAATCTCGTTCGTGCGCGGCCATGCTCACAGCGGATTTGTGAAATTCCGCGCGCGTCCGCGGAATATGTACACACATGCGAGGAGAACAAGTCTCTGTCTCGGAGCCATCATAAGAGCCATGTCTGCAGCAATTTAAAATCCCATTCAAATCCCTTCGCCACTTTAAAAGTCGGGATTTATCGAGGGACGCACCGTGGCACGGGTCGGAAGGCCGCGTGAATAAATTTTTATTGTACACTCGAACGTGGGTGGAGTAACGGCGGCATTTAGCCTCACTGTTTCACTGCCTCCTTCCTTTTTTTTTTTTTTTACCTTTTCCTCTCTTTTATTATCCCGTATTTTATACGTAGGCGGTTGTCGATTTGGCCTTCATCGTCGGCGTCGTCATCGTCGTCGTCGTCGTCGTCGTCGTCGTCGTCGTCGTCGTCTCTGCGATGAAATATCTAGCTTCCTAGAAAAAGCTTCCTCGGCTTTTGCGAGACAAGCCGCTCCTCTGTGTTTTCGCCGGATACGTCGGCTTCACAAAGCTTTTTCCCCCGGTAATCGGTTGAGATTCAATTCGCAAGGCCGTTGAAAGTTATTCCGTTGCCATGTCACAGGGGAACTTTTTCATTCATCGCAGTTCAGCGGAGAATATGATCGCGTGATACATCTTCATATTACGAATTCGTATCCGATGTATGTAATATACGTCACGAATTCCGGAAATCCTCTTCTCGTTTTCCTCGTATCCCTTCCTCTCCGTCTTTGCATTGACAAATATACGCGGTGACATATATGTGACATTTGTATTCATTTCATCTCTCGATTCATCCCTCGGATGTCGCCTATAATCCCGCGCTACGTTCTCACGTACGCAAATGCGAAATCGCTCCTTGCTCGATCCTCCCTTGGTGTTGCCCCATCACCAAGATCCTCACATGAGCCACGGAGGCTGAGTAAGTAACGGCGTGATAATTGATTAGCGCAGGACCAATGTCCGACCGTGTCAGTCAAATTTTCGAGTCAGCTGTCAACGTATTATTACGTCCGCCGCGTTATTACGTCCGTCCTTATCTCTACGTTCTCCTCTGAATCCAATTTTCACGTTGATGTATTCGTACGTAGATCTCAATCGCAAAACCTCAAATCACCTTCTCTCGTACAAAGTCGCCGGGACGCGCTTTATCTGCATCGCCGGCGATGTATCGCTGACGCGGCCTCGCAAAAAGGTAAAAAAAAAAAAAAGTGGAGAAGAAGCGAAGAGATAGATCGGCGCATTGTCTTCACACGGCCGGAAAGTCTTCTTTCGCCTCGGCGAACTCTCGAAAGGGTCACCGGTGTCTGCGACTAGAGAGGACGCCCCCCCCCCCATCCCTCGCCACCACTTACGACCGAGCCGGTCCTTTATTTATCGCGCCGGGTTCTCCAGCAGCTGCTGACATCACGGAGACGACAGGGGTGGTGACGACTGGCCGCTGGCTCAAGAGTCCTATCGATCTACCAATCACCGAGCCGAGTGACACGCTTGTCACCAGCTCGGCCGTGCGTACAGGTATGCGTATGTATTACGCGTTTCCGGAATACGCACCCTACGTACGATCGTGTAGGCTTTGTCATTCTGTGTCATGGCATATTGTCGTCGATATTGCGAACTGTTACTACGAGTTACAGTTTCGAAATTTTTCGACGAAAGTGCAGCGAATAGGAGGGGGGGGGAGGGGGAGAGGGAGAAGAGAGCAACCGAAGGAACTCGTTTTGACGGGTGACGTTAAGAGGATTGAGAATGAACTTTATATTCTTCTTGCGACGGATAATTCAAGCTAAGATTCTGTATAAAGACGGAAGGAAGAAGTCAGCGAACTAATTGAATTGAATTGAAAATAACTCTGATGCACTATCGCAATCAGATATTCCGCGTCACATATCTTTTGGAAGTAATTAATTAAAGAGAAAATAGGGAAGAGGGAGAAAAGAGAGGAGGATTAAAGCGAGAGAGGATTAAACTTTGGTTTACAGAGGAAATTCCGTGTTCGAAACTTCAAAGGTTTCGGGGACGAAGTTGATAAGCAAAGATTGTATTATGATAAAGGTAAAAGAAACTTAGGCAACCAGAGGCAAAGCGATTTCTCTCACAGTACACATTATCATAATCCAATTTCTCGTAATATAATCGGCGATATCGATATTATAAGCTTTGACATCTGCAAAAAATGAAGATCTCTCCGTTTTCTTTCGCACAGCTGTCTTCCCTTTGCACTTTAGAAAATTCATGCAGACGCGCTCATGTGGATTTGGAACTCCCTCCAGAAACAGAAAACCACTGTCTGTTTTCTTTCTTTTTTTTTTTACTTTTGATTTCGCTTTAATTTAGTTAGCGGTGAATAAAAAAAGAATAATAAAAGAATAATTTTACGTGCGAATTTGCCTTGCGAGTGACAAATTTCGTAAAATTAATATGAAGTTTGCGAAGCGGAAAATAACTCGGGGGGGATGACAGAGGCGGGATGATTTATTCGTTTAAATCCTCTATATTGATTAATTTAATCGGAACAAATCCGTTTCCTATGGAGGACAGGAGTCTCGGCTTAGGACAACGTGTGCCACGATTCGCTATAGCCGGGTATTATCGATGTTCCGCCTGGAAACTGTTGCTCGTATCACGAGGTATTTTGTTTTGTTTCCGAGCTCTGTAGCCCTACACGTGTGTAAATCGACCTCATCACGAAATGGAAAAGCTTGCATCGGACAAGGTCGTGCTGCATTCGTTTGGGTCTCTCTCTCTCTCTC